ACATCAAACTTGAGAAAATCTAAAAACCAAACAATAATTTGCCAGATATTGTCGACAACAAATTCAACATATTTTATCATAGAGCTGAGGAAAATGAACATAGTTATCCCATAAGAGCTTCAAGTTATGGACCTAGTCAAATAATAAAGAACTCTTGCATTGGAGATGACATTTTAGAGTTGCTGACTGAATGATTTTCAGCACTCTAAGGCATAACATTTTAGGCTCCGAGAATCACTAATCTAGAAGAGACATGCACATCCAGCATAATTGATAAAATGTGACATCCGAGACTTGTTCTCACGGGAAAAAAAAATGGTATATTAAGCACCAAAACTTATATTTCGACTGGCTCTAGGTATTTAATTGAGACAATTATGAGTACTTGTTGGTCCATAAGCATAAACAATTCTCTTATGCTTCCTAAACTAATCCAAAGAATGGAAGAAAAGTAACAGGATTGTAGCATGGATCTCAACAAACAGACCAAAAATGATAGTGCTCAGGTGACCACAAAAACAGAGACAATCTAAAGCCAAGAACCATACCCATGAGGATGAATTCTCTGGTCCAGCTTCAGCAAAGCGGGATAACTGGGAACTCCCAGGTCTTGTTTCCGCGCTATGTGGACGCTGTGAAGCAAGTGATATCTGAGTAGATGGTAATACAGCAGATGCTGATGACGGCCGAGAGTTTGAATTCCATGCACTGGAAGAGTCATGCGCATTATCACTACCAGCAGTTGATGGTCGTGTGCCAGTTCCACCAGATGAAGGGCGATTACTGAAGTGGGTTGGCGAACCAGCCCCACTATCAGTCTGCGGTGACAACGACGATGAACCCCATGCATTCAGCGATGATTTGCTTCCCCAGCTGAGGGTTCCCCTACAAAAAAATTCAAAAAGAGAATAAACCCAGCTCTCTAATATGAGGAAAAATCAAGAAATGTAGCCTTTAAAATAGGAAAACTTACTTCGGAACAATTTCCACATCTGGGTCAAGGCCCTTATTCTCTAACCTTAATGCAAGAATATGAGTATTCAAGAGATAAATTACAAATATATTTACACCAACATAGGAAAACAAAGAGAATAAACATGAGTTTCGCTAGATACCTTTGGCTTGGTAAGTTTATGGGTTTTGGAACAGCAACCTTTCCTAATACAGTCATGCCACTTCTTCTGGTAGTGCCCCATCTGCATATCATGTTTTCAAAAACAAATTCTATCAGAGGGAAATGAGCAAAAGTAAGAGGAACAACTATACAACTAACACATAAATCATAGAAGGGATTATAGAAATCAGCTTCAGTCATTAGTCTTTTTATAATCATTCTGAATTATACTAAACAAGCAACGGAAACTAGCTTTCTCAACCAAACAAAGATACAATAAAATACTGAATCTCCTTCCAGTCATGGCCAATAGAACAATGTTCACTATATACAAACACCGGCTGAAAAAGCATTCTTAGCTTTTTACACTGCCAAACAAAAGTAGCAATCCGAAATTCTACTTCCATTCATGTAAATATCAAGTGTGAGTAACTATCGCCCTAACAAGCCCTATCAAACAAAGAAGCATAACCAAATCACGAGTTTTGTTATACTCATGGCAAATAAACCAGACTCTTTAAATGCCCCAGGCGAACATGACATACTTATATGTTTCAGAGTCAGAATAGATCAGCAAAGTGAACATACTTCTCGAGATATCATGAAAACAAATGTTTAGAAAGAGACAAAGCTGGTAAAACGCAACAAAGAGCTATAAACCTTCGATCTCCCGTCGAGCTAGAGGTCATTTATTCAGCAGCTACAGTAAAAACCAAAATCCAATTACGCCTCAGGAAAAACCTGTAAACGCAACACTCAAATTACGTCAATTATTGAATTCAAACCTTAAATCACAAAAGTAAGCCAGAGACTACAAAAAACCAATCCATCAGAATTTTACACCAACAAACAAAAAACCATGAGACTACGAAATTCAATCAATTGACAGCAACAGGAAACGTTCGACGAGACGAAAATCGTAACATTTAAARGAGTCATTGATCGCCCAAATCAGCGCATTCCGTAGAGCAACTCTAATGTAATCTAGGCAACAACCAGCAATGGAGATAAACAATCAGGTCCACGTACGAAGACTTAATCACTCGTAATCCGTCATCGTACCGAACGATAAACATAAATCTCGAATCGGAAGCTCACCTTCTCCTCGTAAACCCTAGATATCCTGAGAATGCACCGAAAGGCGAAAGAACAGAGACGCGGATCGAATGTAGCAGAGGGTGTG